ATGCTTGATCTTTGTAGAAGAGTAGCAGGTAGATCAGGCAACACTCCTCGAATGCTCCAACCCTTTTAAAGTGTGATCGCTTTTACTTCTGTTCTTCAACCTTTGGATTTGATGTAGAAGTAGATCTACTTTTATCTGATCGATGTAGATGCAACTGTATGATTACGATCCGGATAATCACTATGTGAATATGTGTGTGTTCTAGAAAGACAAACAGAAAAATCTCTAAGATTTTCTGATACAAAAATCTTCCTAAGGCTTTTAAGAATAATAAACTGATAATACGAAAGCCGTCCAATTAGCCTATGTGTATGACAAGGTTTATATAGAGTTTAGAATGTCCTAGTCCCATTGAAAATATAAAAAAATTCATGCATTAGACTTGGTACAATCTTAAACCAACTAGGAAAGAAATCAGGAAAAGGAAACTAAAAACTGTATTGTGAACAGGACTCCTTGAACCGGTTCAAGTATGGTAGAAGTTTATTTCGAGGCTAACTAAAGACTTTGAACTGGTTCAGAGGGGCTAAACCGGTTCAAGTATGCCAAACTTGAATTTCCTGGTTCACTAAGGCTGAAAACATTGTATGGTAAGATTTTAAAATAAATACCAAGTCTAGAATGTGTCCTAACCTTTTAAAATTCCTTCCTAATGTGTTGCTCTTACCTTTCTCGAATAATCTCGGTTATGAGTCACTGTTGATCCCAATATAGTAACTCTGAATTACAGCTCGACAAGAACTTGTTTTGTTTCCGATAATTGCCAATTACAAAATAATATCTCACAATCTCCCCCTTTGGCAATTTCGTGACAAAACCCTAAAATTAATTTTCGCAATCTACCCAAAATAAAAAAGTAAATTACATCTTTGTTCAAAGGAAAAACACGGAATATAATCACTGTTCTCTTCTCTTCTTGGATCTACGACTTGACTTGATTTCTTGCACAATATCAAGTATCAACTATCAGTGAAGTTTAATAAATAAAAATTTATAAAGACTTCCCCTTAAGTAAATATCCCAAAAAAAAATTTATCTCCCCCTTAACATCACATTTGTTCTCCTTCCCTTTTGTAACAAATTAACAAAGCATAGAGACAAATAAAAGAATAAGATAAAACATCCAAATATGTCATTAAGGCATATACGAGAATATCCAAAAATAATGACCATTTTAACAAGAGTATGATGTCATGTTGTAAGACAAAATATTAGGCATCAGTATCTCCAAAAATAATGTCAGAAGGACATTAATACTCTCCACCATTATCTTCATCATCATCCTAATCAAAATCATCCTCATCAGACTCTGCATCCATTTTTTTTATTATTCATGCATCATGATAACAATACTAGTTCTAGCTTGCTTGGGAGCTTTCGGAACCTCAATTCCTTTACCTTTGGCTTCTTTGGATAATTTTGGTGACATGTGCTTCACAAAATTTTTCACTTTGAAGCCTTCAACCTCTCTTAGGAATTCCATCAAATACTTGGTGTGCAACCTCAAAAGTGTTTATAGAAAAGTTTGATTTGATCTTCAATTCTCCATAAAAATCAATCAACAATGTAGAAATCAACCCAATTTCACTTTAGAAGCTTCAACTATCATCAACAATCAAGTGATAAACGCCGAATATTGCATATTCAAGCGCCCTTATTTGCATTAGTTAAGTCCATTCTTTGATTATTCTATATAGATTATCTTCATTTGTATTTTTTTTGTTTATTTTTAGGTTTATTCCTCAAATAGAAATAAAAATGAGGTTTTACAGGTTCTTGATGATCAAGGCATGCCGAGCCGGGGCTCTGCATGTTTACTAAACAAATATGGTCCAATGAACTCATGGACACACTCTGCAAGGTCAGTGGACCAAGCCTAAGGTCAATTTAAGAGAAGTTGTTATGAGACTAGTATATACCATTGTGGGCGCCCGCCAGTCTCATGCACAAATCATGCTGGCGCCCGCTAAGCTACTCGAGGCATTAAATTCCAAAGAATGAAATTCCAGTAGCTTCTAGAATCCGTGGGGCCTCGCCATTCTATAGAGGCGCCCGCCGGTTGCCACCACAGCCCCAGGATGCCCCTTTGTTAAGCACAGAAACTAGCTATGGCACCCAGTGGGGGCCCGCCTAACTCTGAGGGCGCCCACTAACTTGCAGACAGGATCGTGGTCTCCTTTGTTTTAACCAATGTTGTCCCCTTGATTAAAGAGACGTGTCCTCCTTTTTCTAGGAGTTCTGACCACGAAATTAAGGAAGTTTGGTAGGATATTTTTCCTATTTTTGTGAGATAGATGATTGTAAAACATTATTGGGTTGTTGGAGGATTATTCTAGAGAGAAATATTGAGTTTTTGAGAGCATTTGGATTGTATTTGCTGAAAGTGGCGAAAATGGAAGGGCTGAGCTCTTCAATCTCTTCCTCCCTTACTGCTATGGGTAACTAACTCCCTTCCTAGGGAGGTGATAAAGCCCTTCCTTGTAAGCATGCTCTAGTTGTATTTTAATTTGGGGAATGAAGTATGTATATGATAGTTTCATAGTCTAGAGATTTACACAAGTTGTAATGGCTCTTCATTTCAATAAATGATTATGTTGAACTTATTGTCTTGTCTTAGATTCTATTTTCTCATGATTGTATTACTTACATTTTCATAGTGAGAATGGAGATGAGATTATGAAATGGTTTTTAATGGCATGTTGTATGGAAATTTTGATAGTCCAAAGGTCTCCCTTTGATGGATTATGCTTAATTTTTTACTTCATGTGCTCTCGTCATATTTATTGAGGAGTTTGATAGTCCGTAGCTTAGTGAGCATGTCATAAGTTACACCCTAGTCTAGGTAGTTAAAGCATGTAAAATTTTGATGGATTATACTTAATTCTTGATTTTATGTAATTCTTGAAGATAATGTAGTAATCATGTATTTCTACATATCATGGTCACATATATAAGTTATTCCCCAAGTTAATTGCAAGCAAGCTTGTTTATATGGTTGGTGGTGAATTCATTTCCCTAGCTTTCTCTACATAAGTTTAATCCATATTAAATTCATTCCATTTACTGTTTTATGCAAATTTTAATTCTTAGCTCTAAGTGAAAAATAAACTAAACCTTACATCTCTTTCATCAAGCAAAACAATTTTACAACTTTAGTTACCATAAGCTAGCAATCCTTGTGGTTCAACTTACCTTTACGATAGCCCTATTTTACAATGATTTGTGCTATTACAAGTGTTGATTATTATTGGTAAACATATTTCAGCCACCATCAAGTTAAACAAATCCACTAAGTAATCAATCCCAAACTCCACAAATCTCTTTCAAACCTATTTTTGAATTTCAATTCTTCACACAACTTCTTCAAATTTTGTCTTCAATCTCATGGTTATCATGTAATGATCAAGTGTAATCCATGAATGAATGACAAAGATACGATATAGATGATATATATATATATGTATGAATAAGTTATGAAGTGGAAGGGAGAGCAATGAATCATATAGAGGTAAAGAGATTATGCACACAATGAAGCAACAAGCAAGTTAAAAAAACCCCAAAACTCGTGCCCTGGAATCGGTTCAGCCCTCTTGAATCGGTTCAGGAGGGCAGTGCACAATTGTGCATAAAGCTTGAACCGGTTCAAGACCCCCAGTCTTGAATTCACAGTGTATTTTTTTTTTTTTTTTAAATGTTTCCAAATATTTCGAGAAAAAATTCTAACACATCGGTGATTAAAAAAAAAAAAAAAAAAAATTCTAAAAGCCCAAAAATCTTTTTGAATTTTTTTTTAAAAAAAACTTTTAAATTTTTTTCTTGTTTTTTTTTATTAAAAAAAGTTAAAACAACAAATCACTAATCATTAAAATTATTCGGTCAACACATGATTCAAAACCCTTTCGAAGAATTTTTTTCAAATATTTCAGAGAATAAATATTTGACTCCACAAACTTTGCAAAAAAATTCAAATCTCAGAAAGTAATCACAACATGAAATCAAACTTGCAAATTTTACTAAAAAATTTAGAAATTAATCTAGCAAGTTCATGTGTGTGTCTGAAATCCATTCTAATCCATCTTTAGTTGAATTTTAATAGATCATTGTCTAAACCTTATTGATCGAAAAACATCAAGATAAAATTATTTTGAGCAATTTTATATATATATATATATATATATATATATATATATATATATATATATATATATATATATAAGCAAGGTGGTTTTCACTCTAAAGAGTAGTCAGCAATTTCCCAACTCAACTTATATCCACTTTTAGTTTCAATTCACAGTCTAATGGGAGCTTTTGATCAAATATCAATAGGTAGCCTTTTCTTTAGCAAATCATTCAGCAACTTTCAATTTTATTTTTATTTTTTTTTATTTAAGCTCCTATTTTTTTAGACAATAACCTTTATAGTTTTCGTGAACAATAATCCCTAGTCAACAGATCAAAAGATTTTCAATCAAATTTGTTAAAGATGGACTAGTGCACAAAATTCTATGAACTTTAAGAGATTCAAATCTAAAAATACCATAATCAATGCAAATCATCTTTTATTGTATATATTATAGATCAAGAATCTGTTTTTTATCCAAATTATCATATATCTCAATTTGCATTCAAAGATAAATCATAAATTCCTCAAAAGAATTTTCACATGTATATTATGAAGATTATGATCAGAAATTTAAAACTCTAACCAACACCTAATAAGTGATCCAATGGCAACAAATTTTCTTTTAAACACAAGCCATGATCACTGTTTTATCATAGGATTCAGTTTGAAGGTGAAGTCTTTTTGGACTCTAGTTTCATGGACTCAACAGGCACAAAATTGATCAAATTAGTCTTTTGATCCACACAGTCTTAATTCTCACTTCCTGAAATTCTCTTTCATTCTTTACCTCTTTCTAAGGTAAATTTTCAGCTTTAAAAAACTTAGATAGCACAAAATTCTTTTTCTTTTTAGAAAACACATTTTTCTTAGATTGAACATTCTGAGAATGAATTTTTGAAGACCTTTTGTTTTTCCTTTGAAAACATGAGTGATACTTATGTCCAGTCTTACTACAGAAAATGCAATGCAACAGTTTAGGCATATAAGACATATCAGAATGCAATGAATCAGACAAACATGGTTTAGGCATATCAGCAGGTTTAACAAAAATTATTTTACCTTGACCACTAGATAAACCTCTAACAAATCCCAACCCAATTTTATCATTCACATCCTTTCCCATTGATTATCTTATTCAAACTGTTTTGATTTATATTGAATCCTTTTAGCTTATCTTTTTCAGATTTCAATTTAATTTCAAGATAATCATTTTTCAAAGCAACAAATTCCTTCAACGAGTTAGCAATACTTACCTTATCCTCAAGAATGATGATCTTCTTCTCAAGCTCAGTGTTGACAGAATTGCTTTCAAAAGCTTTCCTCTTGCCTTTATCAATATGTTTCCTTAGATCTTCATTCTCTCCTTTTGCTTGGATAAGCTCATTTGTTAGCTTATTGATTGCCTGTTTGACTTCCATGGTTTCTTTAACCATCTTTTTCAATCTTTCATCGTCCTTTTCAACCTCTTATACCTGTTCATCATGAACTTCATTGTCTTTATTATCTGAAATATCGGAGTTAGATAAAGTAATGACATGAGGACCTCTTTCAAGAAAAGTGACATAAGAAAAATTATTAGTATCATCATGAGGAGAATCATTATCACTTAAAACAGAATTTTCAGATATAGAAATTTTCATTGTTTTTTCTTTATTTCTATCCTTTTGTTCTTTTTTAAGACTAGGACAAACATTAGATGCGTGACCTTTGCCACCACAATTCTAGCAGGTGAATTCAGTTTCTTTTGATTCTTCTACTTTCTTTTCATTAAACCTAAATTTTGATGCCTTGTCAAAATTTTGAGGATTAGCCATATTGCTATTCCTTCTCCTCTATTGTCTTTGCAAGATCTGATTAAATTGCTTTGACAAAAAACCAAAATTATCGTCAGAGTTATCATCCACAGAATTCTCAACCTGTATTGATTTTAAAGCAAAAATTTTCTCCTTCTAATTTAAATCGAAGTTCTGCATCTCAAAGGTTTTCAATGAACCTACAACCTCGTCAACTTTACAGGAAGTTAAATCCCAATATTCAGTGATGGTTTTAACCCTAATCTGAAATCTTTTAGGTAACCACCTTAAGATTTTCTCACAAATTTTCTTATCACTAACCCTTTTTCCTAATACTCTGTTCGGTATGAAGGAAGGAAGAGGGGTGGAAGGAAAATAGGAGGGAAGGAATAAAATTCCTTCATTCGGTAGGAAGGAGACATGGAGAGAAAGGATAATAGGAGGGATGGCTTATCCCTCCTTCTTTATAAATTTTCATCCGCCCAAATTTAGGCAGAAGACAAGAGAGAAAACAAGTGGAACTATTAAATTACAAGATTATTGTAATACCCCTAATTTTTAAAAGGATATTTCTGGTATTTTATTTTTGATTTAATTGTTTTTTTTTATTAATTGTTTTCCTTGTTTGTTGTGTTAATTATTTAATTGCGGGTATTTTGTTTAATTGTTAATTATTTTGTAAATTGTTAATTATTTAAATTGTTTTAATTGTTTTAACTATTTAATTGGTTGTTAATGGTTGTTTTTATTCCTTTATTTAAGTCATTGTTGTTATAAATTTACGTAAGTTCATGTAGCCGGCACTGTTAAACCTAGGTTGTTCAATGGGCCGAGTTGTATAAGGATTAGGGTTTAGAATTTAAAAGTCTATATATATGCATATTCTACGTTGGTTTAGGGTTACAAAACAAAACCCTATTCACTGATACTTATACCGTGAGATAGAGAGATACAGAGAGTGGAAACTAGGACGTTATCGGAGAGGTTCAAGGATACACTGGACGGAGTGCTTCTAGGTTGAACCAAGAGCACCTGAGGTGTAGAATAGGAGTCTCAGACGTGGACAAAAGTTTCAAAGACGGCAGTTTAGAGTTTCAAATCAGAAACTCAAAGGCAAGTCATTATTCTTCTCCTTCCCTTTAATTCGTGATCTGTGCATGTTTAGGATGACTCCAGGGATTAAACCAACGTTAAAATGGATTAAGTAATTATCATAATTCATCTTGAAATTATGCTTGTATCAATTTTTAAATCGTTGCATAATTCTGTCGTTGGTTGGAGGTAGTTCTCACTTGAAAATCTGTTTGCGTTAATGTTTAAACCTGAAAATCTTTCATGTATGTGGGATGTGATCATGCTTATAATTAACTCTGGAACATCAATTGAACTCTAGAATAAGTTATAAAAATTGTACAGAGCCTCTGAACTTCACCGGAGGCGAAGAAGATGATCAGATTACGCGCAATGGCTCACAATGGAGTAGAGCCGGCTCACCCCAAGGGTGGAGCCGCCTCCACAAGAGGTTAAGCCGGCTCCACATGCATTGGAGGTGGCTCCAATGTGGAAGGAGGCGGCTCCAATCTCTGATGTTGGTTTCTATGTGGTTTTGGGTTCGGTTTGGCTTGTAGGAAGGTTTCTGAGTGGTTCTAGGGGCTGTGGATGGGTTATTAAACTGTTCTAAAGTTTTAAAAGGATTGGGAAGCATGTTGGTATTAATTTTAAAGTATGAAATAACCTACAGTTTGTTAATACACTGCATGTGGAAGGTTGATTTTTATATTGACATTGCTTGCTGTTCCTATAAAGCACTGTGGTTTTTAGCATAATTTTAAACTGTTGTTCATGGTTCAACTGTTGTATAAGCATATATTACATATTCTGGGAAAATATATAGGTATGCTTAAATGGAAATTAATTGATGTTTAACTATACTAGTTATTGCATCAAGTTATGGTATTGTTTTAGAGGAGTTAGTTGCTGTGTTTTACTCTAACATTTTAAAGGACTAGAATGTGACTTCTAGATCATATACTGGATATATATTTGAATCATACACAGATTAGATTGGTTGTATGTTGGTTCTGGAGTATAGTTAATAAATGTATATGGTGCTATTTTTGTTAACTGTGTTGAATGGAGGATGGTATGCACCGGTATGGGATGGTGGCGTACTGGGTATGGACTATTTTCAAACACTGTGTTTTACCTAATCTGGATTTAATGATGGATTAACCAAAAAGGTTAAGTTCATCTCATAATTATATCATATCATTAAAATGATAGAATGACCTGTGGTGGTTTTAGGATGGATTGGTTATACATATATTAAACCACAATACAGATGGTTGATATTTTGTATTAGGAGTACAAGGATTTTATATACGTATTTTTATGATGCCATGGTATGAGTTTGAAGCTCAGGACCATGGTTAGGGCACGTATATTGCCTAGGATGGATAATTGGACATAGGTGTTGTTCCCTGGTAGGTCTAGGTACACATGGCCACATTATTGTGCAATTTGCATGGTATCTCTACTCAGGCTGAGACAGACCTACTGGACTACTGAGCGTCCTATAGTGTGTACTATATATATACATATGGACTATTCTAGATATTGTTGAGTCTTCCTAGGATGTATCTGCGTATCGGATTACTATTTGGATCATAGTAGAATAGGACTTGCATGTGGGCCTGACCTACTCTTTTATTTTTCAGGTGTTCGTCAGTTCCAGGGTTAGAGCAGATACAGACACTCATTCCTCTGATTACGTAAGAATCTTTGCTATGTTTACCTTTAGTTTCTATTTCAAATGTTTTAGTTTCTTTTGGGATTTTTAATAAGGGGTCCACTGGATGGATTCTCGAGTTGTTACTTATGGAGTTGGGAGTTTGGATTTATCGGATTTCAATAATTTTATTTTGAGGATTTCAGTTAGTTTTCTTCCCGCTTATTATTATTATTTATTTTATCTTGTATTCTATGTTCGGTTATATATTAATTGTTTGATATTTCCCTCGAGTTTGGGCCTGGGCCTGATCAACCCGTGTCTCGGATCCGAGGGGTATCATAATTATCCTTCCCAAAAAGTAAAAAATAAACCCTGTACACATCTCGTCTCACGCAAATCGCTATCAAGAAAAACTCACCTTCACATTGAACTCTCTCCAGCGATCTCTCTCATGCAAGTAAGAAGCTCTATCTTTCACTTTCTCTTCTCTATACAAATACATAGATCGACAATATTTACAGGCAAATTTGATTCATGTGTTATATATATATATATATATATTGCTATTGATGCAAGGTGAAAATTTTGAATTCGGATGTTAATCTGTTGTTTGCTATGTTGCATATGAACTTTAAGATAATCTACAATATGGGATCATAGAACACTTTAAACATGCGGATGCATTCCTGTACTGTTCTGACCACCTATACATACCTAAAAAATCTAAGGATGACAGGCTTGATCACAGATACTTGAATACACAATTCAACACAATAGCAGAAGAGCTTGTTTCTACAAGTCATATATTTTAGTATAATGTAGAAAATTATCGCAACCCCATCATGTTTCTGTAGTTCTTACATAAATTAACTTGAATAATTGGTGTTCTAACAATCAGTACAGAAACTATCATCATAGAAAATAGCATAAATTAGGAAGGCACAAGAACCTAAAGTGTTCATGTTTCTGCAAATCCATCAAAAATTGTGGGTAGGTTTTCATTATTCATCAAATGCCTAAATAGTTTCAGGAATGTGGTACTCAAATTAAACATCCTCAATTCCATAAAAAACTAATCCTTAAATTTGCTAGCAAGCTGAACTGGCAAGGCAGAGAATAATCTGCTCCCATCTCTAAGCTTTTTCTTAGAATAAAGAAATTTGAAGTTTCCAATAAACTTGCACAAAAAACTGAAAACCTTACGCATTGCTTACGAAATCCACTTAAGCCTAAACAGGATAGATGCAATCAACACCTTCAAAACAAGAACAATAGAAAAACTAAACAAAACAAACTATTAAACACCACCAGGAAAAAATCAATCACTATCACATCTAATTATCTAAATACCTATGATCATCATGGTTACTCTTCATGTCATTGGCAAGTGACAAAATCTCTAAAGATCAGTGCATTAACAAAATTACCCAGCAACAGTTCTCATGTTGACACAAAGCCAGTCATAGATGATAAAAATGTGGCCATCCACCAAGTTCATCAATAAAATTTATTCAAAATTAAGAGAGAGAGTATTTGACAAGTAAAGACTATAAGAAATTAACCCACAATAAAGGCAATTGATTATTAACTCCATGTTTTTCATTATTTATCATGTTTGTACATGTGTATACCTCTCTGCTACTTTTGTATAGTATGTCCTCCTCACAAAAATAAATAAAAATATTAAATAATTGTATAACTGTGGAGAAAGATATATATATATATTAATTAAACATTTTACCTTTATAACATTGTGTGTGATTTGAATAACTGTTTCACTAATTATTTAGATATAAGTGACATTTATTTGGTAGATGGACAAGGAACATAATTGGAATGATAATTTTGGAGAAAATATACATGATAATTGGGATGAGAATGAAGAGGAGAATTTAGATGAGTGTGGCGA